TTCGCTAAATTAGTTATACCAATTAAATATTATCGCTGTCGCAATGAATGTGCAGCAACAATGACATTTACAAAAGCGAAATTATTTTTTTTCGTACAAATTTAAAATTGCAATATCATATCATACGTGTATCGCATACTTACGTAGATTCCTTTTTCCAGATCGGCATGGTGGAACAATATGGATATCCCGCTGAAGAGCACAGCGTTATTACGGAAGATGGTTATCATTTGCAAATACACAGGATACCTGGGAGTCCATTGTGGAAAGATAAAAAGAAGAAGAACGTTGTGTTTATACAACATGGTATCTTATCTTCGTCCGAGAGCTGGGTGATGTTCGGTCCCGGCAAAGACTTACGTACGTGTGTAGAACGAGAATAAATAATGCTTTGGTAACGTCACTTTGAAGTGTGAAAATCGACTTGAGGCGTAGCGTGAAAAACTTGCCTATAGTAAATCAATCAACGTTTTTCTTGTCAAAACATCAAGATGTTATCGGCTTTTTATTTTCGCTGAGAGAAAAATAATTCTAAAATCTTGGGGTAAATTGGCATAAGTTGATATATTATAAATTCGCGCCGGTTTATTTTGATGTTGCAGCATTCTTATTGGCTGATCAAGGATACGATGTGTGGCTGGGGAATATTAGAGGAAACAGCTATTGCAGGTTGCACTTAAACATGACGATTTATGACCGCAAATTTTGGCAATTTAGGTGAAATGTCACGTTGAAGATCTTTTAGAAAGAAAATATTCTAACTAAATAATTTTATTAAATAATATGATTTGGTATTTCATATATCGATATTTCTGTATTTTACTCAGGAAAAAACGATAGATTTAAATAAATGATTATTCTAATATTTCTTATCAAATTTTTACTTGAATTAAATTTGGTTTGGATGAAGTGCGCTGGATGAATAAAATATGTATTTTCAAGTAAATTATCCAAATAAAATATTTACTTCATCGAAATAAAATTTTCTTACTCTTAAAAGTATAAAAACATTGCTAGGAATATTGAAGTAATTATTTATTTGAAATTTAGCATTTTTTTCTACGCAGCTTTCATGAGGTAGCATTGATGGATCTGCCAGTTATGTTCGATTATGTCCTTAATTACACTGGGCAAGAAAAAATGCACTACGTCTCTCATTCGATGGGATCGACAATTTTATTCGTTCTCTTATCAATGAAACCGGAATATAACGCGAAGATACAATTAAGTGTTTCCCTTGGCCCAAGTGCCTTCTGGAAGAAAGTAATGCCTACATTCAGGCAAATTGTCAATACAGCGCCAGTATTGACGGTAAACGCTAAAATCTGTTTTTGTGATTTACTTGGCTTACTTCTAGTATACTAAAGGGATCATTTATAAACGTTAACACTAAGAAGATAAAGTAAAATATGAATTAAATCATGTTTTTTTTCGTAATTAATGCACTGACACAATTTGCTATAAATATATATTTATGTTTTCCAACTGCTTCGCAGGCATTTTTCGCTAAACATAACATATACGATTTTCTTCCGCAATCTGCGACAATGGTTGGAATAGGACGAAATTTCTGTTGCGACGGAGCAATTACTCAACCTATTTGCATTGCTATATACTTTATAATCGCAGGTGCTGATCCGCTGCAGATTAACACTGTAAGTTACGTGTTTGCAAAAGTTCATATAATATTAGAACTATTTTCTTTATTAATAACAATAAGGTGTCACGATATTTTGATCATAGTATTAATCGTTGTTATAAACAATCTTTTGCCACTTTTCGGGCAATAGTGTGATCTCGCGCCGATAA